CTCAAGTGGTAGAGCGCTAGCCTTGAGCTGAAGAGCTGAGGGACAGCACCCAGGCCCAGAGTTCAGGCCCCACAACCGGACCCCCCCCCAAAAAAAGAATAAATATGTAAAAAAATAAAAGTATAACAGAAGGTTGGAGGAATACTCAAGTGGTAGAGTGGCAACCTAGCAAGTACAAAGCCATGAAGTTCTAACCCACTACTACCAAAAAGAAAGATGAAAGTTAATTTTATGAACATATATTCACTTTTTAAGCTACTATTCATTGCATGTTTACAATATATTAAGCCCTATGCTAAATGTTTCACTTTATAATTTACAAAATCCCTGAGAGGACCATGATATTATCTGTAGGTTTTCTAAGCTTGTTTTCTGAAGCTCAGTAAAGATAAGTACTGTACTGCCTTTATAGCTCTAGTGAATGATAATGCTCAATTTAGAAGCCAGTTTATTTAATACACATACAGCATTGCTGAATTGAAAATACGGTGCAGATTACAGCATGAGTATAAATGGGAGTTTGTTATTCTTTCAGGAACTTAGAATATCATAGAAAAGATGTGTTGATTTGTATTTAAAAGGTAGTATTGAAGAGGCACACACAGTGAGGAAGATATGGAAAGGCAAAAACTAAAATGAGATTCTGTGTGTATAATTTGAGTTTAGAACAGTGATCACTAAAACGAAATGGCAAGGAATGAGTTTTAAGAACATGTGAAAAACAGAATTATAGGGGCTGGGGGTTTTCATAGGCCCAGCGGAAGGGCGCCCACCCGCGCACAAGGCCCTGGGTTTGGTCCTCAGCCCTGGGAAAAAAAAAAAACACAGAATTATAGCAATCCTCATGTGTCAGCTTAATAGGCAATGGATAGGGTTTTGTACAGAAGAATAATGTATCTAGGTTTCATTTTAGAAAAATTTCTCAGGCTGCAGTATCAATGTTTAATTGGAGAAGCAGGAGATATAACACAGTAATACCATTAGAAGATTGTGTTTGGATAGATAGTAGATACATAGTATGAAAACAAAATAAATGGGGAAAGACATTTCTGACTCTGACATAGTTTAAATATTCAATATTTAATTAATACAAATTTGTTCAGTTGAATTAAGAGAAAAATAGTACACATCAGATGTGGGGTGTGTGTGTGTGTGTGTGTGTGTGTGTGTGTGTGTGTGTGTGTGTGTGTGTGTGTGTGTGTGTGTGTGTGTGTGTGTGT